ACGAATCCTATACACAACGTTCGTGTATCCAAAATTATAAGCGCATTATGAATATTCACCTCAGAGCATCCAGGGAACCGATAAACCGACTTATAAAAAGATGGGATAATGAAGTGAAACACTCACGGGCGATGAACAGCACAGTTATATTCCTATGAACCAATTCCAATTTTAAGATATTTATATTTATATAGGACTAGCAGTTTAGCCTGGCGTTACACGAGATTGGTGATGGTGGTAATTTTACAATCACCTTAATAATGATGCAACTAGAGATTTCTGATTATAGAATGGCCCTTTAAAACAAAATTTTCAAAGTCTAAAAAAAACACAGAACTCTCATTTTATTCGTTTCAAAACATGGAAGAAAACAATTTTTAGTCTGTGAAGGTAAATCCTTACAAACCAATTTTAAATTATGTTGCACCCGACATGCACGATAAAAATCTATTACAGGTATCACCCCGACACGATAGGTATTGTCAATAGGCGCTGAACTGAACTCGTTGTATTTACGGTAGCAGGCTTCAAACGCATACTAACTACCAAAATAAATATATAATAGGTATGATCATATAGCAATACTTCTCAAACCGATAAATAGTTATATGATGAAGTTGACTAGCAATTAGAACGCGAATTAGTGGTTGAAAAAATTACAACTATAAAATCCTAGTCACGGGTGACTAGGAGCATTTGGGAATGATCAATGCTTGTACTGAACGCAAATCTGAGCAATAATTACAATTGTGCCAATGGCCGCAAACGAAAATCATTCTCGTGCCTCGCTTCGAATAAATCAATTTGCCGGTAAGACCTCTTGCACCTGAAAATAGTGCATCACGTTTCAGAGAGGGGCATACAATGATTATTAATCAGTAACACCACTTGTACCAGCAAATATTGCACGCAAGCTTCAGGGAGGAGCACAATTAATAAGTAACACCACTTGTACCAGCAAATATTGCACGCAAGCTTTTGGGAGGAGCACAATAATTATTAATCAGTAGGACCACTTGTACCTGAAAATATTGCACGCAAGCCTCAGGGAGGAGCACAATTAATCAGTAGGACCACTTGTACCTGAAAATATTGCGCCCACGTTACAGGGAGGAGCACAATTAATCAGGGCACGTTGACCCAGCACGTCTCGTAACTCACGTGATGTTTTTCTAGCAAACATTGCGTGCAAGGTTGGCGCGGACGGCGATTTCTCTTAGGCCAAGCCTGTCATCCTTCTTAAGCCCTTGTAAAGCCGCAATGTGGAATCTTTACAAGCGGAACAGTTATGCTAAGTTAGTGAAGGCCTGCACGATTTTCTTTAGCGCAGAAGCGGCGCAAACGTAACAGCAATGTGTCCCTATAGAAGCTGCACTCAGCATTCACTCTGAAGCGTTAAATATTTAAACTACATGGCAGACACTCGGCACTATATAGTAAGTTGACTTTGAAAAAGCAGTCCAAGCATCACAGAGGGTGCGAAGATTCATTCCTTTGCACTCCAAATCCCGAGCTTTTGAAGCGGCAAAAATACAGAGAAATTTTTTGATGCTCTGAATCTCGTATCGATTTATCAAACGCCGGTAAAGGTTATTGTTACAATAAGAAAAATATCGTCGATCAATGCATTAAGGCGGTCAACTTAAAATCTTGTTGATATTACTACAGCCAAGTCGGTGAGTTTAGCTCTTTTCAGTTCACCATGTTTATTTTCAGTTCACACAAACCATGGTTTATCTCTTTTCAGTTCAGTTTTTTATCTCTTCAGTTCACCTCATTGAAAATAGTTGTGTGGTCATTCAGAACCGCGACATGCAACTCCTAGATGGAGGAAAATAGCCAATAAATTTAGTTTGCAAACAAATTTAGAGTGCTCAGACCTTAATATGGGAGCTGCCGCGGCAACAGCTTGGCTGGTGCCTCAGAAGATTACAATTCTTTCTACACTTAACACTCAGTTTGAAGTGTAACTTGCAGAAGTAGTGAAAAGAAATCGCATCCCCATCTTCTTTGTAATAAATGATGACCCCGAAGATACTCAACAGCCGCGACTTAACAAAAGTTTCCTTGCCGCCGTCCAAATAATGCAATGGAAGCCTAACCCAAAATAAATCGGTGGCAAATAAAACGAGGACACCGGAGGAGGATTGCGGTACAGGAAGGTTGGTGGTCCTTATCCCAGCCTTGCCCTTAGCTAAACAACTTCTCAATGAGGACCCGTTTCCAGAGGTTCATTCAAACGCGTGTCCCGCAGCTACGGAGCTTATATCAGGGCCGCGGTCTCAGTTTAAGAGCCGCCAATGAGCTTGATTTCGCTTACGGGCCCGCGTGGCCCAGCCAACGGCCGCTCGGATACAGCGGCCTTCAGTAGCACTGCATGCATCAGACACAAATACATCTACACCTAAAACCTGCTCATATATCACGAGCAAATTGCTATTCAATAGCAACGATTTCATTACGTTCGATTGGTCATAGGTTTCAAGGAAATAAATAGGATAATTTAGAGAATTTCAATAGTAAAAAGTTAAGCTCACAGTAATAACTATTCCGGCATTACTTGGTCACACCTGAGGTTAACATCGGCACACGCCCGCTCGCCGGCCTAACGCTTCTACAACTTAAAATGGGCAGCCGGCTTACCTATTTATTGGGCATCCAGTCAAACACCTCAATAGCCTCTCAAGTTTGAGTAAAGAAAGCACCGTTTTTGAATAGTTTTTCAACGGTCCTTCACTCCTACAGCCGAGTTGTTTCAAGACGCCTTCGTCCCTCTTAGCTATACTCGGTTTCTTAAACATCGAATGGAATTGAATGTCTCACTTGCAACAAAACCAAATAATTCTTGCTCTTGGAAGCAACAAAATAAAATAATTTCTGCTTATGGAAGTGTTTTGTTACCAACACTTTCAAATGTACAAATTTTATACCATGTGATCATGGGCACCATAAATATAAAAAAAAAACACAAATTCGACAGTGAAACCCCAATAAGTTTCATCTGAATAGTCAAATATTTTACCATAAATGGATTGACTTCACTTTTTAACACGGATAATCAAATCGGTCACGGACAATAAAGAGAAGCAGCAAGAAATGTTGTGGCTGCCTTTCCACATAACGAAACAAAAGAAAAGAATCTCAATCGTTTTTTAGCTGCTAACAAAAATGTATGACATGATTTCGATAGAATTATCAAAAATTATAATTAATCTTTCATCAATAGCATTTGGCACATTCGGCATATATACATATACGATATGTATATGTGTACACTTTCCCTTCGCTAACAAACATTTCAAACAGTTTCATTTTCGCGTTATAATCAAAGTTAACAATGGCGTCCAAATCAGGCTGATAAAAGATTAAGTTCTCGAGGCATCAGTTTCAGACTCTACATTTAATGAAGAGGCCATTAATTAGGCTCTATGGATTCACAACCGAACGTGAGTGCATGTCACGCTACTTTAAGTCAAATAAGATTTGAGTCTATATTATAACCTCAAATATTAAATTTAATTTTTCAGTAAAAAATTGGCTGACTTCTTCATAAAGTGAGGATACTCCACTTGAACACGAAAGGACCTGTGAGCGCCCGGTAATTTACCATGAGAACTCAAGCCACGCAGCTCAGCCCGAGAGCTGAGGATAACAATGCAGAAATGACACTAATACCTGAAGGACCTGAAAATCCTGGTTTCAGGTGACCGCGTTAATTTGTTTTAAAGGGAACGGACAAAACGAACGCTCCGTCCACCACAGAGACGTCAGAGAGTTAAAACGTTCACAGTAATTAATTGTAAGCAGAATCTTGTTTAAACACGATGAGGATATAAATATACAAGAATATCTTGCGTCATCAATGTGCATGAGCAGATATCTAATGCAGAATCAATATTTCCTGAAGAAACTAATGTGGTAATTCTTTTTATGATTAAGAAATTAAATTAAATCATTTTAATTTTGCTACCAATAATTCATATACCGAATGAATATTGATATATTTCCGGTCATTGAAAAATTTCTACAGGACCCTCGACGGGTTACTTGCGCGGTGGGCAAGCGACAAGTTATATCAAGGCTCCTGTATACGTTTATTTAATGCAGGTTTATTAAGTTACGTATACCAAGGCTCCTATATGGTAATCATGTGCCATGTGACTGCTCATCAGGAGGAGGATGAGTTTGGAAAATCATGATAGATACAATAAAAGCTGTCGGTTCAATTAATGCTGCAACTATAATTCATGTATTTACCTCGAATACAAACCTGAATGTTGCATTTCATCTTGTGGTTTTGCGCTCTCACGTGTTTATTTTCGATCACGTTTGGCGAGTAATTAAATCTTCATTTTTTGCCACGATCAGTTCAGCAAAGTCACGAGCCTCAAGGTCACTTTAGCTGGAGTCTGCTGCGCTCTGCGGCGTACGCCTGTCGTGTCCACAAACCCAGTTGACATTTTTGGGCGCGCTTTCGGAGGCAATGGTGGTCAGCAAGCTTCGCTACAGACACCGGTTCTCAATGGAAAATATTACCAAGTGATTATGGTTTAACTAATGGTTAATTATTGTACGTATAAATGAGGGCTTCTGGTTTAGCATGATGTGAAACGCATGAATAAAATATTAAAATCGGGAGATTTTCCTCATTGTTGAGAATTTTATAATTATTCGAATTCCATTTTTACGGACTTAAGCGGGAACAGATAAGCACAAAAAACGTCTTATGATGATGTTGTCCGTCTTCCCATTAGCTTTGCAACATTTCTGCAGTCTCTTCTATAGTGAATGCAACACACAGTGCCGAACGTGCCTGAATATACAACAAATTAACTTTAGGTTTACCATACTACGTGTGGTCGCTCTGCTTTACGTTACATATATATAGGTAGACTCGCTGGATCTCAGACACATGAAAATTATTTAGATATCGTGTTAGAAGACCGAATTAATGTAATTGAATTCTTTTAATCTAAGGAAAGTATGCGTGGTTTCCTCACCTCGTCATCATCGCCGTTAGGGTCGACGACATCGTCCGTGACGTCATCTAGCGAGGTGTCATCCACGTCATTTGTGATCATAGGCGAGTCGTGGATGACGGTGAACACAGGCTCACCCAGGGCAGACGTGGTCGCGAGGATGACTCCAGACGTTGGTGGAGTGATAACAGCCACCGACGAAGGCGACGTTGAAGACGACTGCGATGATAAAGGTGGTAGAGGCAGGGGCGGCAAGGACGACGATGGTGACGAGAGCGCTGGCGGGGAGTCGTCATCGAGACTTTCACGCAGGTGAAGCCTCAGCCCGCGATGCTGCTGCTGCTGCTGTCGCTGATGCTCCTGTTCTTCCAGAGCGTTGTCCAGTTGTTCCTTTTGCTGCAACTGTAGGTGCTGCTGCAGTTCGCTCTGGTGCTGCAGCTCCTGCTGCTCGTAGTGCTGACGCTCCAGCAAAAATTGCTGTTGCCGACGAATGGCCAACACGACGGCCTGCTGCGCGAGGGATGCAGCAGGGCTGCTGCTGTCGCCGCTCTGAGGGGACACTTCACCAGGCATAGTGACGGTAGTTTCTTTTTAATTCCCTCTAAAAAATTCACTTGATGTTCACCATGCGATTCTAAAATATGTTCAAAAAATAAACCAGTAGCAATTATTTCTTCACTGATTACACTTTGAAGCGTTGAATTGTGCTATGTTCAGTTGCCGAAAATTATCACATAAAATTGTTCATATCCAAAAACTACACAACTAATGTTCATGAACAACCTATTCAAAAGTTATTTACTCACGGCAAGCTATGGATTACACAAACATCCTCCACAGGCGTAAGATAATCTGCATTAAAAAGAGCAGTAGGCGCGCAGGGAGTTAAGTAGTGTGTAGGTCGACTCGCGCAACAACCAACACGCACTTTACTTCACTTCTCGCACACGGCAGGTCACTTGCACTCAGCTAAAGACGTTTCTCGTAGTAAGACATCACAGATGGCACTGAAATTGAGCAAGTGGGCGATGTAGGGAACCTGAGCTAACGTTTTGCTTGAAGAAACGTTGGGAGCGCCTTAGGGTCACTGGCGATCGCGTTGCCTGAGGGAATGGGACTGTCTTGAGCCAGGATGCGGCGCTGGTCTAAAAGACGCTCCACAGGTCGGGGAGCGGGGGAGAGGGGAGGCGCTTCTCGCCAGGTAGGACCGACCGACCGACTAGTCCTGACCAGGTAGGGAGTTATTCGTCTTGGCGGGGACGGTTGGCTGAACATGGCTGGGCGGGGCTGGTTGGGGGCAAGAGGGAAGGGGAGGGTTTGCTGGTCCGCGCTCACCTGCCTTCATCTACGTACCTAGGGCTCGAGATGGCCACATGCCTGCCACCGCTGCTCACATCTTAGGCGCGCGGCAAATCGAGCTCTAATGTACTGCAGCATTGATGCGGTTTTTGCAAGACGGCTATCTGGACGAAACATTCTCATACTCGTACGAAACTTTGTTAATAATGATTCGGATTCCCGCCGTCCACCTGTACGCACCTGCGATTGCCGAGCAGCGACACAAAGCCATTTATTGGGCCTTTTCAATCGCACACTCGACGAGCTGCTCGTCTCTTGTTAAACGTGCTCAAGATACAGAAACATTGAGGAAATTTTGTTAATTCACAACCGCTTAATGGACACTATAGAAGGCTCTTCAACCAAGAGTAACAAATTCAATTATTTATGATTTGTTATTTAAATCTTCCATTACAATTCAATACTTCAACAAAGTACTGATAAGAATTAGTAGTAGGAATATGAGGCAGGAGAACTAGGAGGGCGTCCATTGGCTCATTGGTCTCCTCAGCGACGCGCGCTGCGGCGGCGCGGCCGTAAAAACTGGCGCGTCTGGTGAGCGCAGGGGCTGTTCCTACCCCACACCGCTGAGTGACTTGCGGACCTGATGTGCAGACCTCTGCAGACCTGCTCTGCAGACCTGATGTGCAGACCTGATGTGCAGACCTGATGTGCAGACCTGTTGTAAGTCTGCTCTGCAGACCTGGTGTACAGCGCTTCTTCGCAAACTTGATCTGCAAGACTAATGTGCAGACCTTTTTTGCAAATCTAGTCTACATACTTAGTCTACAGACCCATTCTGCAGGCCTATTTTACAGAACCAATCTGCAGACATGCTGTCTCTTATACACATCTAGATGTGTATAAGAGACAGGACCCTGATGTGCAGACCTGATGTGCAGACCTGATGTGCAGGCCTGATGTGCAGACCTGATGTGCAGAATTCTGCAGACCTGATGTGCAGACTTCTGCAGACCTGATGTGCAGATCTGATGTGCAGACCTGCTCTGCAGACCTGATTTGCAGACCAGCTCTGCAGACCTGATGTGCAGACCTGATGTGCAGACCTGATGTGCAGACCTGATGTGCAGACCTGATGTGCAGACCTGCTCTGCAGACCTAATTTGCAGAAATGCTGAGCAGACAAGTTCTGTAGACCTGCTCTGTAAGTCTGCTCTGCAGACTTGGTGTACAGACCTTCTTCGCAAACTTGATCTGCAAGACTAATGTGCAGACCTTTTTTGCAAATCTAGTCTACGTACTTAGTCTACAGACCCTTTCTGCAGGCCTATTTTGCAGAACCAATCTGCAGACATGCGCAGCAATTGTAAGACCTTGTCAACAGACATGCTCTGCAGGCTTGACCAGCAGTACTACTCTGCAGGCTTGACCAACAGTACTACTCTGCAGGCTTGACCAACAGTACTACTCTGCAGGCTTGACCAGTAGTACTACTCTGCAGGTTTGACCAATAGAGCTGCTCTGCAGGCCTGATGATGTTCGTCCTATCTAATTAACAGAACTACTCTGGACGTGATCTGTACTCAATCTACAGAGCTTATCTGCAAACCAGCTCTGTTCACCACTCTGTGGAGTTTCTCTGCAGGCCTGCTTAATGATGGGGTCATTGGATCAACTGCAGAAATATTCTCTGCTGTGTCGCTCTGCAGGCCATCACTTTACGAACTCATTAGGCCTGCTCTCTGAACACGCTCTGCAAGGTCGCTTCGTAAATCAAGTCAACAGACATAACCGATAGTGTTGATCTGTGAATATACTATGCTATGTTCTCTTGCACTAATAGTGAAAAATTATTTTTTAAATAATTTAGAGCTATAAAAATGCACAACATCAACTCTGCTGCCAGTGCGCAAAATTGCACAGCATCATCTCAACTGCGAGCCGAAAACATTGCACAGCCGCAACTGTGCATGGAGCCCGCAATAATAAATCACAAATTCTGCTACGATCCTGCCAGATTGCAGAGCAACAACCTAAACAATACCTATCAAGAAATAACGAGTAAACTTAATTCACGGCCATCGCTTAACATTAAGACTGCGCATCCAAGAGTTCGGTACATGGATGAGCGTATGAGACCGTTACTTACACCAGCAATTATTTAATAATAAATCACATTAGCATACGAAGAAATATCATAATTGATTTTTCGGTTATAGTCAGAGGTGGAAAAAAACGTTTTCTTCTAACTAGCTCGGGTAAAATTGGATCTTGAGTGCAATATTGACTTAAAGTTAGAGAAAGTTTTGATGTGCTGCATCCGCGATCATGTGATGATTTAGTCTCGACTTAGTTCATGCATCACTGGTTTGTGCATACCACATGCAGTAAACAGAACTTTTTTTAACTTTAGGCCAACGTTACTCCTAAGGGACATTCGCGGTAGTTCCATGAATGTAAAGTGATGAGCTGTCAGGAAACAAAATTCTTTAATTATTCATAAAAATGGTTATTTCCATCATAATGGGTTTTCGACTATTACGACCGTTTGCTTGTGCATCGAACAGATCTCTTGAAGCGATAATATTTGCGCTTAACGTCATCTAGGATTCGCTGAATCATCTGTAGAAAAAAAATTGAGGCGCGCCAGCCTGTCACGCATGAAGTCTGAAATAAATTCATCACCGCAAATGAAAAAAATTCCTGGTAGCTCGTTCCATTAATGACTGTATTTATTTTCTTGCGAAGGAAGCGCCTATGCATGCCTAATGCTTTTGTGGCTCTGAACCGAGAAATTCTCAGTAATAACGTTCGTTCTTAATTCAAGTTCAAGCCCATAAAGACTATAAATGCATAATTCAGCATGTCTCCGTACACCAATATTTATATAGCCAAGGTCTACAAATCTGGTGACTATTCTTGTAATCTTTCAATGTACATAGCGACAGTACGCACACCTATTTGTCGGGCAGCAAATTGGCAAACCATCAGCGTCAAGACTTGCGGTTTGTCAGACGGAAATTCGGAGCACCACATTCTTCAAACAGTTCATTCAAGGTGTCTTGTATTTATATTCATACGAAATCTACAGTAAAATCAGGTCGTTACCAAGGATCTTGATTGGGTAGGCAAAATGGAGTATCTTGAATCCAATGAGAAAATATTTAGTGTTAGGAAAAAAAAATTGAAAGTGTTTTGTCGAAAAAACATTTCTGGTGTGGGCAATTATGATGGGAATCCCTGTGGCAGCATAAAAAGTTGCATCGGAAGCAGCGTTGCTCTAAAATGGAACACTGAAGACCTACTTTCACGGAAAAAGAGCAAAGGACATTTGGTGGTCGAGTAATTTGTTTGGCAAGCTGTTCGTTATGTAGTGAACAACAACTACAAGCTAAGGGTCATTTACAGGCTTAGTCAAAGCAAGAACAACAATTCGTTGCGTTCTTGGAGTATCAATTGAACGGTTCATTCTGGTCAGATCAGTTAGCTTCTGCAAGCTTATCTCATAGCATCATCTTTCATTCTGATTTGGTTTCCTGGTTAATTTTCCATTATGAAGAACCTGGCAGATTACGATATTTCTTCTCAAATGAGGAGAAATAATTACAACCCATAATTATTTTTGTTAAGCCTCCAAACGATATTGCAATCGGTCGCAATTTATTTCTCAATTTCCAACAAGTCAACAATGCTATCAAACTCATATTTTGAAACGTTGAATTCCAAAACTGTGATGCCTCGAAATTCAATGTGCCTCAAAAAAAATACAGCAACAGATTTACTGTACACTAATCAAATTGATTTTTGTAGAAATCAATCAAGATTTGTACAGCTGACTGCTCTTGATTCACAACCTCTAGTGCGGTATTCATTGCGTGATCAGAAAAATATAACTCAGTCACTGCAGTGAGCGACAGAGCGCATTTTCTCGTTGCCGATTATCATGGATACTCGGCAACGTTGAGTCACAGACAGACAGACAGACAGACAGACAGACAGACGGACGGACGGACATACGGATGGACATGACGAGCACAATAGCGACTTTTTTCATAAATGAGAAAATGCGCCAAAAACATAGATCTAGTCATGGCTAGGATACACAATGCTGACAGGAAACTGATACTGACTTGAACGTAAATATTCATTGGACACACCGTGTTTTTACGGTTAGTTTAATCGAAAGGCCAAACTTAAATTCAAATTGCTACCTTTTTGGGTAATTTTTTCAAGCCACAATAATTCCTTCAAGATCGATGAAAATTCCCGCCCAAAAATTATGATTTTGTGATTAACTGTGGCAAATTTTTAATAGAAATAGCGCGATTAGTAAAAAATCTTCACGTCAAACAATTGTCAGTAATTACGAACAAAACTTTGCCAATTTTAGTATCAAGAATAATAATTTCCTCTACATGATGGCAAGTATATCAATAATTACAGTAATATAATAAGATATGGCAAAATATTTGGATGAAAACATTGTTATTTGGAAAGTCATCATGAGCATGAACAAATGTTTCCTAGGTGACCGCAGCAAACAAACGCACTCGCTCCCTCCCTCCTACCAATCAACCTACAAGCAGCCAACCAACCCAACCATCATCAGTAAACACGCACGTACTAGCATAAAAACTTGTCAAATCTTCTAGGCAGAACATGATCAGTAAGCATCCACATCGTCTTATTGTTGCCATTCGCATGAAACCATAGAAAAAGATATTCTTTTGCGTGTCTTAATTTTACTAATTTTGTCAAGTTAAGTTACGTTTTCAATGATTTGATTTAAATAAAAGGAAATTTAGTTTCAAAGTCAGACCATTGGCA